CAAGTGTAAACGAGTGGCCTTTGGAAACTCAACAGCTAAGGAAGCTTTGAGATCAGGTTTTTTTTTTCCTCAACAAGGCTACCGGGGATGAAGCCACTTGTCGGATACCTACTTGTGGCAAACCTGGCAGGAAATCCAGCGCAAAGGCTCATCACAGCTGAGCCTGCATGTACAAATAGTGAACGTGCTATATTCTGCAGGTTTTCTTGATGCTTTTCTCACTGAACCTGTTGCATACGGGGTAGTGAGTTCCCTGGATGACTCACACTAGCACACATGTCAGTGGGATGTGTAGCAAACCCATCTTGTGTAGGAGCCTCCAAAATCTGCTTCCTTTACTCTCACTGGAAGCAACAAGCTCAAGGTTCATCTGTCTCCTGCTGCTCAGGGTGGAAAAGGCGAGGAGGAGCAACGAAACAACAGGTTTCATTCCTGTCCCCCGTCTCTTCCTGGATGCGTTATTCTCTGTATCAACAGGAGTAATCCTGGAGAAGCAGAAAAGCCACGGTGTTTCTTTCATAAGAGAGCAACCCGGCCACTGTTTTACCCACCTACCTCACAACGGCAAATTAATTCCAGAAGGTTAGCTCATGTCCACACAAAACCAGTGATGGTACCAAACAGTAATTGCAGCCCGCCTCTGTCAGACAGATCACAGAAAATGAGCTGGGCACAAGTGCTGTGCAACACAGGCAGGACACAGGCTTTGCCAGCACAGCCAGCTCGGCGAAGAATTTCCCCGGGTTTTCTTTCCATGGTTTCAAGCGCTACCAAACGGTGTTTACTCCAAAGAAGCATTCCTCTCTGAGATACCAGACGCTGCCTGTGCAATGCACAGCAGCCACATTGCCTTCAGTTCCACTCAAAAACATCTGAATGCCTGCCAGATGGCGAGTGGAGGAAATAATGTCTACGCACACACGTGTACGTGGGCCTTCTCCTCAGATGGTGTGAATCTGTGACACTGGAATCATGATACCCGATGATACGATGTGTTAAACAGTTTTTTTAAAAGAGTTTTAAAGAAACTCAAGCAGAATGAAAATACTGAATTACCTCACTGTCAGATAAAAAAAAAATAAAAAAAAAAAAATCCGTAAGCCTTAGAAGATAAACAAAATTCTGCATCTAACACAAAAAATAATTTTTAAGAGCAATTCACTTTGTTCTTCAAGGAGATTTTTCACCCTGGGCTTGTGCTCACTTTTGAAAAAGAGGCTGACCTGAGCATTTTTTTATTTATTTAAAACATAACACTCAACCCAAAGCCATTTCTTTTTGTTTGGCTCTTTCTTTCTCCGTATTAATTTCAATTCAATCAACGAGGCAGTTGCATAACTGTTGTTTATAATTGCTGTCACGTCAACGCTGAAACTGATCGCTGCAACACTGAAGTTATATAAAAGGTTTTGTTAGGATTTTTATTATTTTTCTCATTTAAATTGTGAGAAGATGAAGTTCTACCCTGGAGAGATGTTTTGGTTTTCTGAGTTCTGTTGCCTATTAGTCCTGTGCTTTGGTGTCTTTTCTCTCCAGTTTTCCTCTACACAGTGCAAGGGCCTGTTTAGGCACATGAACTCTCCAAAACCAGTTCTGTCCACTCCGTTAACATACAGGCTATAAACTACACTGGGCTGAGTCAGAGAAGCAGCTGGCAAGAGTAAAGTTCACAAAATAGGTAAGCTCTTAAGGAGCGATTTAAACACATTTCTGGAAAGGCAGACTACTGAAATGCTTAAATGGGCTGGGATTGTAATTTGCCTTGCTCTTCTGAAGCCCGTGGACTGTTACCCTTCTGTGATGTAGTATCAAGCCCTGAGGGATCACTTCTCCTTGCGAGTCAAAATGTCCACTTACACACACAAAAATGATCCTGGAATCGAGAGCCATCTCCTCCACCAGCCCACAAACACATCATGGCTTCCATGCTCCTCTCCCACCACTTCTGGTTATTCCCCTTTGACTCAGAGGTGTACTCACCTGGGAGACTTCTCCCCCGACTCCAAAGAATTCGGATGATCCATTTTCCCGTTAGTGTTCTGTCTTTCTAGAGACATGAATGCCAGGGCCACACTCACAGCTATCTTGGGCCCAAGGTAGTTTGAAAGCTGTACTGTACTGCAAACATAAATGCTTTAAGCCAACAAATAATTAAGGACCGTACGTTGTTTTGGCGTAAATGAATACTGCCCATACTTATTCGATGTTCCTTCACACTTAACAGCAATCTGTTTGTAGCTGACATTGTTTTTTCTTAGAAATAGTCTGGAAAACGTCAGAGTCTATGCAGAGAAAAAACTAAAGAGAAAAATATACTCAAGTACCATCAACAATCTCCCCACACACACACACCAAAAAACTCCCTCTCGAGACCACAAAATTTATCCGCTTCCTTACAATTAATGTCTTGTTTGTAAGTCCTGACTCCCTGCAGAGGAGAAGCTTGTTTAGAGATGAGCACAGGGTTGCAGAAAACTATGCCTCTCCTTTCCCCTCCAAACTCAAGAGAAATTTGTATGGGCTAACAGAAGAGCGAAGCAAGGCTCTTGCTGGAGGTTTAACCGAGTAACCTGTTTCATCTGATGAGAATTAACCAAAAAAAAAAAAAGACATTAATACCAGCTATTTCTGTAGGGAAGCAGCAAGGAAAGAGTTGGTCAATCGATGTTTTTGTATGGTCACTGTTCAAAATTCCTTCTGAATGAGCACATGCAGATTGTGTATGTGTGTGCGCGCGAGTGCGTGTGTAGGGGAACAAGCAGTACTTTGTGAGAAAAAACTGTTATCTTCTAAACGATTGGAGTATTACAAAACACAGGGTCTGAGCATCTAGCTTTATTCAGGCATACAGAAGACTGGGAATGCAGTTTAGCTGGATGCAGAGTCAAAGATACTCCCACATAAATCCGATCAGTTGTATTTGAAACGGAGGGCGGTGTCTAAGAGTCAGCAGCAGTGGCCCAGCCACACAAATTAACACACATTTGAGCCAAGCACCTCTCTTACGTTGAGGTCCTTAACTTCAAAATTTGGATAGAAGAGTTCAGATTTCAGAGGCAAAGGTTCAAGTGAGACACACAAATAGATGTGTCGTGAGTTGCTCTCTAATCTTCACTGGGAGACCTTGTGGCTGAGACAAAGGCAACTCACGATCAAAGGCAATTAACTCAAGCCTTTAGCGTGGTTTTCAAACACGTTTTTCACTCTGTGTGTCTGTGGCCTATTCCCAAAGGATTTCTGAAAGGCAACTAAGAAAATCAGGGCTGCTACCCATAAGTGTAAATCTGCTATTCCAGAGCGCGTGTCTCCTCTGAAAAAAGTGTTAACAGATCCCCAAAATCAGAATGACTGAAACCCACATGTCTCTGAGCGGTAACCGAGGCTCTAACATGTACACACTTACCCCTGCTCTGCTTGCTCATGGTCTCACAGCAATCTCTGCTCTAAGAATGGTGATGACAGAGTTACGCGCGGTACTCTGGAGACGCAGCATGCACAAGCAGCTTGTGAAAAGCGCTTGATGCATAATCCAAGTCAGGTTTCTCTTAGCAGCTTCGTTTTCACCAGGATACCACATACGTAGGAACGGTGCAGGAAGCCCCGCGAGAACTCTGTTCCCTGCTCTACTACATTCTCGGTAGCTATGAGTTCAATCTCAGCCGCTCTCCTCTGCGCAAAAGAAACAGTACTTCATTACTGGCAGGAATGAAATGCTTAAACGCTCTGAGGAAGCCACAGGAAAACTTCAATAGCGTACGCTGGCTTTGGTAAGGATGTCTAAAAGATGTTTCACACTGAACCTAAACATATGGCCGCGCTTTGGAAAAATCTGCTCGAGTCCCAAGTCTGAACCTCGATATCCCTCAAAGGTATGCGTTTTAGCAGTCCTGCCTTGGCTTTACGATAGTATATGCTCATATACAGCCATCGGGGCTTTAGATTTGTAACGGTCTGCTAAGCATCACTGCCTATCCCTAACTGGGTCTGTCTGTCTTCAAAGCAGCAAAATTCCTGCTTTTATGGGAGACCAACAGATTCAGAGCTTTTACATCTCAGACTTCCCTCCAAAGCCTTCACCAGCTATGTTCCCTCCTCCAATTATGCTTCTGATGAAAGACTTCTGTCCCTACGCAAGGGCCTCAGGAAGATGAGAACTCGGCATGAGAAACTCTCAACCCCCACTCTCCAAGGTTCGCTGTGGCTGCTTACTCTGCGCCATGGAATACTTTTCCATTTTCCTGTCAGATGCTGAACACAATCTGACCGCTAGCGTATTAATCATGCCAGCCTGCTTGTTTTCATACAGGCTACCGGGCAGAGTTATTATCATTTCAGCCAAGCAGTTACAAAACTTCCATTTTCCTACCTGTGCCCTAGCTACGTGTTGATCCAGTCAGCATTCCAGCTCCGTCAGACAGGTGGGTCTGTAGGAGGTAAATTAATTTAATTGCAAGGGGTGCCAGAAACAGCAGACGTGTATTTTAAGTCCCATGACTCTAGGCTGTTTCATGACTAGCTTGAAGCTCACAGCTGCGATCACGATGACTCTGTCTACTGTCCTTTTTAAACATCTTCTGCTTTGTCTAATTTGATTAGGCTCATTCTTGGCTGGCTTTCCATCAATAAAACCCCGTTCAAAAGATGGCCCCACCGCTTTTGCAGAATACAGCCTAAAAGAGAACATTAACAAAAGGAAATGTAATATACAATGGAAAATTAAACAGAAATGTGTACTTTATTCTTAATACTCTTTACTCATGTAACTTCTCCAATCATTTATTAACATATATTTTGTTTTAAACTACCTTCCTCCCAATGACAGCTTCAGCAACTGTGAGTTCTCCTCATACTCAACTATTTTGAGACTAATTGTAAGCAAAAGTTATAAGAGAATGTAGCTCTAGCAACAGAGTTGCACCTTCTTCCACAAGGTCAAAGCTAGTCTTTTGTACTAGAACACAAACTCTGGTATAGTTAAATAATGACACAAAGCAAAGATATACTCCATAAAACATTAATATTTTAATGAAAAATCTTAGCTTCATGTTTCTATCCAAAGACACTCAAAACTAGTTTTTCTCCCCCCTTAATTTTGACCTATAATGGGACCAGTTTGGAGATTCTTTTTTTTTTTGTATTTTAGAACATTTTTTTTTAAAGATTAAACAACCAGGCTAGCAAAAAGGTACCCAATACATACTTTTCTTATATCAAACAAGCTAGTATTTCAATACAATGTAACTATACAGAATATATACATTACACGTATGATCACAAAGCAAACACTACAGGCTCAGAACAGATTTGAAAAAACATGATATTCACATTGATTACAATAACTCTAAAAATGATTGTAACGTTGAAACGGCACTTAGTTTACAAAAAAAGTCACAAAAATATATATAGCCACCAAGAACTATGGTTCCTGAAAAATACTAATAGCCAGATAGTATTATATAAAATGTGAAGTGTATTTAAACATCGTATACATTAAAAAACAAAACCAAAACCAAAAAACAATTCTGTTAAGTCAATAAACATGCCAAGTAATCTAGCTGTGGCCAGCATCAACAAGAGAAGCTGTACTGTGGATGAGATGACGACTGGATATACGGCTGGTGACCGGAGACTGGCACAGTTAAGGGGGTTTCACTGTTACTAAAATGCACAAAGAAGCCCAACAATAATTTAATTCACATTTTTTCCTCCAGCTTACTCTTTTCCCTCTTCGGGGTTTCACCATAGGGCAGCACCTAGAGCGAAGGCACTGCAGGAACAGGGCAAAGAAGCTGTCCAAGAACTTGGTGTAGCCAGGGCTGTAAGTCAGAATATCAAAAGCATGCATCAGCTAAACGAATGGTTAAACAAAATCACTCCTCTGGGGACTTCAGCAACCCTCAGGAAGACTGTACGTACAGCTGTCACACAGGCTGGCAGCACCAGGAACTGATTCGGCTTTTTTTTTTTTTAAGTGCAACCAGATTTGTAGTTGAGACCTGTGGGACACTGAATTACTGTGATAGCACACATTGAGTTAACAAAAACCCAGAGCAGTAAGTACTGTTGCATTAAAAAAATTCACATTTGTTTTTTTTTTTTATGGTACATTTCCTCAAATACTTTGAACCGACTCTGTTTACTAGGGACCTCTGATGTGGCTGAGGCACCGTCCGGCCTTGAACCTTCTTATCTGTCATCAAGATGCTATGGAATTTACTATGTCCATAATTGGAGATGAGAACCCTCCAAAACCGGGTTTCACCTTGTAAGCAAAACTCGAACTTAATCGATCGGAATGAAAATTAGCTATTTTCCATATTCTGATGGTGTGGAAGTTGCAAATGGATGTAGGAGCGACAGGTGCTCCCACATCTGCATTTTCTCCATCCCTGCAGGGTGCACAAAGCTCCCGTTCTATTTGCATATAAAATGCTTCATGGTTTGTCTCAGAGAGAGACTGGCAATAGTCTCAGTGCTCTTGCATCCTGGGGCTGGAGGGGAAAGCCAGCAACCAAGAAGCGACTGAAGCCCTCATATAAAAACTTGAAACTATAGCTTAAAAACAATAAAATTTTATCCCGTAAGGGATATATAGGGATCATAGTCTTATAAAATATATTTTACTGCATTGGCAGCTATTACTTTTTAAAAAAGTTTAAATTCACACCTTTTAGACTCAAGATACATGTGAACCCAGAACCATTTTCAATAACCTAGTCTACTAATCTCTCAGTATGAGAGACTTGACCATAGTATCTGCGAGCCTGACAACTGAACTCAAACTGTAGTAAGACAGACAAATCATCAGGAGCACACATCTTTTTTCACGTGGTGTAAGAACAGTGACAAGCAGTTCTGACGGGGAGCTTCATTTGCTAAATGTGTAGGCATCCCCATGGATTTCCAGGGGCGTTGTGCTATGCATCTGCATCAAAAAACAAAACAAACCCTTACAACTTGGCCAAATCTCCCGCACAGCTGAAACATCACTTCTTTTTCTTCCACTCTCTGCAGGGAAATAGAAAGCTGCTGATTTTTTTTTTTTTTTCCCCTCTCCCAAAACACCATATTAAATCAGGAAAAAACCCTATCCTTTCCTTTCCCATTGTTCCCATCAGATGTACTGCTCTACACAATATGCAAGGAGTAAAGACCCTGCACAGACTTCAAGAATCCGGGTCCCTGGCATACGGCAGAACCTTGCTAGTTCTGTGGTAGTGAAGGCACTCTGCTTGCAAAATAGATGGGCAAGGAAAGGATTTTCCACTGAGTCCAGAGATTGGTGCCACATGGGAGAAGGATATGCAAAAGCAAGGCATAAATCACTTTGTGAATGAATCTGGAGACTACTCATCGGCAAAGAAACTGCTGCAATGGGTCATACGTGTAAGCCTTTTGGAAGAAATTCTAAACAACTCATACGGGCTACAAAGATGACGAAAGGTCCAGAGCATCTGCCATCCAGGCTGAGAGTGATCACGCTGTTCTGCTTGGGGGATCTTATGGACGTGTAGAACTGGATAGAAGGGGGCAAAGAAGATGGAGCCAGGACTTTCTCACTGGGCACAAACTGCAATACAAGAAATCTTAAACATACTAAAAGCTTTTTTATGGTGAGGGTGGTCAAACACTGGAAGAGGTTTCCCAGAGAAGCTGGGGAGTGCCCATCTTTGCAGATATTCCAAACCTGACTGGACTGAGCAGCCTGTTCTCACTGACTCTGCTCTCAGCTTGGGGGTTGAACTAGATCACCTCCAGAGTCCCTTCCAATCTCAACTAATCTGTGATCCCTGTCAAGCAGAAATACAAATGCTTACATTATTTCTTTTATATATTTTAATATTTGCATATGCAAATGCTGATAGGGGGTGGGGGGAAGTGTAGGCCGGGAAGAAAAAAAAGAGAAAAAAAAAGAAAATGCAGTCCAGAGTTCAAAACCTTCTCATAACGTATTGAAAGAAACATATGCTTTAGGTTTAGTCTCAAGTGTAGTTTAAGGCAAGTTTCTTCTAGCTTAGTTAGATATCTAACTCACACAATTTGGAATCTAAGCATACTAGCAACAGAGATTGTTTTGTCTATGTTTTTACATCTCTCCTGTGAAGAACATCAGTATTTCAAAGAACTGAATGCTTCCAACAAGTTAGGAAGGAGAAGTAAAACAATATTTGTATTTAATCTGTGTTCACTTCTGTGGAGAAGAGAGATATTAACAAGAAACAATTACAAACAGGAAAATTAACAGGTAAACCCAACCCTAAAACAAACAAACAAACAAAAATCCTCTAGAACTCTATTGTTCCTGCAGTTGAATCAGACTGTAAAGTGAGAACTAAATTAAGATGCTACACAGAGATTACAGGCTTGAAAAGATAATGTGTAACACAGTGCAATGAACAACGAAACCCATGACTTGCCCTGCACCAAGGTGTTAACAGTTAATGATACTCATTTCTTTTCAAGGAAGAACAGATTAGAGCTACACAGTCTTCTAAACTTTTTTTCCCCTTCTCTTTGGTATTCAGAAAGCAGTTTGCCTTCTGACACAAAATTTTAAAGTCTTAAAAATCCAATACCCAGATATGTCTATTTTGTATTTGCACGCCTCCTCGCTGATAAACTGCTTAGCAAAATACCTAATGGGTGAAAATTATCAGATTCTGACCAAAGATTACGCCCATCTATATCTGACCACCTTCGATTATTTCATCTGTACAGTCTAGAAATGTGTTTCTATGTGAAGCACTTTTTACTGCACGAATCACCAAGGATTCTCATATACCTGCAAAGTGGACTAACACTAATCAGAAAAAAAAAAAAAATATTATGTATTTGAGTTCACTGTCATAGCCCTATAATTCAGGATAAAACTCAGCAAAAGGCATTGTTTTGTCTCATTGGCTTCTCAGTTACAGAAATCAGAAGTGGAAGAGAGCTGGTCTTTAAATTCAGCCCATCGACGGACACTGGACTAATTCACAGTACAGCATCCCAAAAGAAGAATTTCTCCTTCGAGCCCTTTTAAGACGACTTACAAAGGTAGACATACAAGACTGAATTGTAGCAGAGAACTTCTTTGCAGCATGTTCCTAAAACACCCTTTGGACCTGGTGGAGAAACTTCACTCCAGTAACTTGGAAAGGACTTAAATCCCACTGGTTTTGCTCTATTTAACTAAAATATGTGGGTTTTACCTAAAACACGGCAGAGAAAAATTGTTAAAGTCACTGAAACTCTTTAAACTCCTTCCAAAGGGCAATAAACTTTTTTCCTTACAAAAGTTGGCTATTAGTAGAAATAACGCAGACCTAGAGAGTACCAGAGCTGCCTAAGCTAACTGAATACAAATTGATCTTGCGATAAAATACGGCTCTTGTGTCTTCTGTTTCTTCAGGAGCAACCTGTCTCTATTGGTTTCATTTCCTCCTCGTGTTTGCGTAGAACAAATCCAGACAGAAAACAATTTAAAAAATACAAGATTCAAAACTAAGGGAGTATACCATGCCTTTGGAATACTAAGATCAAGTAATACCTACTCGCTCAGCATGTCATCTGTAGGCGATAGGCATTTGGCATCAAACACTGAGTTAACTTCAGAAGCAACAAGAAAAATCACTAACCTCCTAATTTATTTCCTAGTTCAGATTTCAAAGCAGTACTATAACCCAAACAGCCTCGACAAAACAGGACTCACTGCTCTGAAAATCCCACACCCTAAATTTGTAGCTTTTTCTAAATATGGAAAAATGAAATTGCAAATCTCTCAATTTATTGCTTACTTGAGCTGTGTATGTAGCTGGAGTAATGGCCTTTAATAAACCGAGTTGGCAAGGATTTAAACTGTTTTGAAACAGGAACAATTCATCATTGCTATATAGGCTTTTTGTAAACAACCCCCTATTGGGTTAGAAAGTTGGCCGCTAAAGAGAATAAATTGCTTGTTTTGTCCAAAACAGACTAATAAAAATCTCAGAAACTATACATGCATATGTATAAATAAAAAAATGTGCAATAATGCACAAAAGAGCTCATTTTTTCCCATCTGTAAACTCCCTCTAGCTAGCTTTTGGAGATTAGTAAAAATACAGTATATATGATAGGGGGAAGTGACCGGAACTGCAAACAATCTGGCCACGATTTAAGCATTCCACTTTGAGAAAACCCTCATTTTCATATGTGGTTCCCCTCCTACAGAAAGATACAGTCATGAGATATTTGTCAGGCTTGCACTGATATATACTTTTCTATCATCCTCAATTCATTATGCACCAGTAGACTTTTCCTGACCATAGTATTTCCACATTTAACCTTAAATGGGCAAATCTAGACAGGCTATTTGATCAAGCAGTTTCTAAAAGGACTGGAATACAAGAAGTAGGAATACCTGGCATGACATCACTTGGTTTGTCAAAACTGATTCATCTGAGATGAAAAGGGACAATGTGTTTTTAAAAAGCTCGTGACTGTTAGTTTCAAAAATGCTTACCATCTCCACGAAAAGGGCTACAGTAAGCGCTTTGAAAAACAGCAGGCACAGAGATAGGAAGTGTCATTTTTTTTTATGCAGAAGATTAAAGCATCCACTCAAAACTAGTCAAAACTGTTCAATAACGATTTCCAATGCATCCTTTTGTTTGTCATTTTAAAAAGGTTTCCTCTGATTTCTTTCCCTTAACCAGAGGGTCTGCAGAAGCAAGAGAAACTTAATGAGCTGCTCTAACTGGAAGAAGAAATAGTTTAAGTGATCTGAATCAGTTGTTCTTCTTTAGAAGTGTATCACAGCTTCCATGATGTTCTGACAAGATCTTTTTGTGCATTCAGTCTTAAATATTTTCACAGAAGTGATCATTCAGTCATGAAAAATAATGTAACATCTGTTGCAGTTTTCTGTTTAAAGCGTAGCTTACAAAGTAAAAAGGGAAAATCTCCCCACTTTTTAAAAAAATTAAATTAAATGTACAGGACCAAACACAGGCACTTTCCAAAGAACAAAAATGAAACCAAACCATGAATTATTCAATAGTAATAGATGACAGCTCCGGTTTCGGAGGGTCACCTGCGGCTGCCTCAGCAGTGGCGTTAGTCTTTGGCTGCTCTGGCACATCTTCTTCCTTCTCTGCCAACCCACCCAGAGACCCCAAGGGGAAAGTGCTTTCACAATTCTGTGTTGACGACACCTGTGAAATGACAGGCATTTGGACAGAAGAGTTGCTTTCAAAGCCATGCTCCCCTAGCTCATACTGCCCGAGGGTCTCTTCTTGTTCCTGGTTTAAGTAGTCCGGTACTAGGAAGTCACTAGAAGAGGGGCAAAGGACAGAAGAGAAATGTCATTTCTCACACAAACATTAGTGTTATCAGTTGCTCTGTATCAGTTACATCACACAAGCTACATACTGCATTGCACGGAGAACAAAGATATTCACTTCACATTACTCTAAGATCATCACAGTGACAAACTTCACCGAGCACTATAACCTGGTTCGCATTTAAGCACACAGAGAATTTATTCAAAAGCATCCATTTTGCACTGTTGTGAATCCATATCTCCTACTCAGTAACTTCTTATTATTTAGATTGTATCACCTTGATGAGAATGAAAGTTAATGTCTGGAACATCATATGGCACTGAAACCCTCACTGGAAAAAGGGAGCACTCAACCTTTAAAAATAGAACCAAAAATGAGTTCAGCACTGGCAAAGATGTGGGCCTTTTCCACCACCCAAGAAACTGGAGCAGCACTCCTCTCAGTGTGGACAGGCTGTAAACAGAAGTGTGAGGTGAGGAAGCAAGGGTTCTGCTGAGAGCACGAGGAGGCTGCCAATGACAGCGGTGTTTTGTGATGTTCACACGTATCACACTACTGCAAAAAAGAACGGGATTGCATTTCCTTCCTGGACAACAGTTCTGTAACTTACTCTTACCAACTGATGGCTGAGTGTACCCAAAGAAAATCTACCAAATACTACTCTCCAGTAGTATTTTCAGCACATGAGCACATAGGAAAAATAAAATTTCTTTGCAAATTTTCAGCACCAGGCATGTAAATTTGTACTTGAAGCAAGTGTCTCTGTGTGTGTATATATATATATATACGTCCTTCTAACAATCCATTTAAAAGCAGTCCTTTGCTTAAATGACAGCAGCATTCACTGCTTCAAATCCAAATTCACAATCAACTATGCTAAGCCTAGTGTTTGTAAATTCAAACTAAAGGAAGGCCTACAAACAACTAAAATCACATACTTTAATTTGACGACAGCAGTAAAGTGTTTACCACAATCATGGCATCATCCCTTAGAGTCTTCACTCTAGTTTTGGCCCAAGCACTAAGAACAAGAACTGCACAAACCCACAGACACAAAGCACTTATACTTCTAGACAATATTCTGTTGGGAAAACAGTGACTGGATTTCCTGGTTTCTTTTGCAAATTTTTCATCCTATATCACTTCTGAGATAACCAAATAGAACAAAATGCTGAAATGTTCTGTAGGGGAAAAAGCATAAGGTCTAGAAATCACGAGAGATGGTATGGTAGATGCTGTAACTTTTAAAATACATTTCTTTTGCATTGCTGAGGACAGATGACTTATGCAAACCAAGCTGCACCTTCTCTATAGATTTTAGAGCTGTGAGATCTATCTTCCTCCAATTTCCCTCATCCACTTCTGTATTTTTCCATCTCAGATTCCAACGGTTACAAACATTTATTTCAATATGAGAATACAGTGCTTGTCTCATGCCTCAGAACGCTTTTAACAGTCTTTCGTGAAGTGCATTTGTGAGATCTGCCAAGTCTTTTGTGCCCTGATAAACAAGAAATGTCCAACTGGCCCACACCCTTACTATTTCAAATCCTATTAGTCTGATCATTTGGTAATATGTTACCTAGAAAATGAAAAAAGAGAAAGTATGGAGGCATGCAATCCTTCCACAATATTCACCATCAAGCAAGCACTTAAAATGAAGGAATAAGTCTAGTCCCTATGTAAGTGAACAGGCTACGTATGAGATTTTGAATAGCAAGTCATTTACAGAACTCCACAGATACTACAGCACAGAACACTGTGGCTTAGCACCATTAGCCTGTCCATAGATAACACGGAAAAGAGAAATTAAGTAGCCCAGAAGCAGCTTCTGCATATCACTCGATCCTTCAGTGCCCTCCTATATAGCTTATATGCTGTAAGACAGATCAGATATAACAGATAGTGGCGCAAGAATAAATTTGACTGGAATTAGCTGGCAACCTGATGAGAGGCACAGCAGGCTGCCCTGCAAGCAGGAAAAGATGATTTAATAAAAAAAAAAAAAAAAAAAAAAAAAGGCAAAAAAAAAAAAAAGCAAGTTTCCCTGTTAGGTTTTTGCTGTGCACCTCACCTGCTCTGGAAGTAGTTTGCTAGCTCTGACGCTTCATGGTTCAAGCTCCTCAGGTGAACGATTAAATTTCCAGAGTTGGTGAACATGGCGCCACATGTTTTGCACTCGTAAATCCGAGGCTTGCGGATAATGTGCCGGGAAACCCGCATGTGGTGTTTATATTCCCCGAAGGAAGTGAAAGTGGCACTACATATCTGGCACCGGAAACAGCGTTTACCTTCGTGCTTCAGGCGATGCATCTTTAGCGAGTAAGCTCGGGTGAACTTTTTCCCACAGCGGTCACACTGAAATGGTTTAATGCCTGCGGAAGAGAGAGAAAAAAAAAAAAAAAAAACACGTTCACCTTTTGTAATGAGAGGTCACTGGCAAAATCCTTCCAGATTTCTAACAGCAAAAGGACAGCAGCTGTGGCCAGTCACAGTGAAGCGCTGTTTTAGGAAGAAATTCTCTGGTTAACTTGAAAATGGCAGAAACAATTAGAACAGAGCTACGCTTTCTCAGAACCGAGTGCTATTAGATTTCATAACAATGTGACCTGTCCGTAAGGCTTACATGTCATCTTCCCCAGGGTTTAAAACGAACATAAGCCTCCATGGGTTATACAATGGTTAAGATCCTGAGCCACAGCCAAAAAGTATCCGATGCAGCAGTCATCTCAAACCATCTTTGAACTCCTTTGATCTCGGGAGATTCTTGTGCCAGACTGGTTCCCAACAATGCAATTATCAGACTACCCTTAATTGCAATGTCTTTTTCTGGCTGCCTTTGGCCTCAGAGAATTGTTCTGGCAAGGGGGACTGTGTGCACAAGGATGCCCCTGTAATGCAGCAGGCATGGTGATAAAAGGGTGAAGTAGCAGCCTTTATATTGCGTGGGAACCTTTCTATACAAGAATCTTCAGCAACCTTGCGTGATAGACAGCTCTCCAAGACAGTTAAGGTTCATGCTTCTCATTTTTTTCTCATATTAATTTAGAAATTCTGTTACTAGCTCATTTCTCATTTCTTAGAGGCACTAATAAAACCCTAAAACATACAAGCTCTGCAACGTGTTGCAGCGGCTGAGATTACATAATCACACCGAAACAGAACTATTACAACATAAAAGACTGAATCACCAAAAAAGTTAAGATTTAATAAAAAGTCTGAACTCCAGAAAGTGTGGAAATCCAAACATGAGGCCAAGAATATGGAGCCCTATTCATAATAGGGCTGTCAAGGAATAAAAAAGGTTTTTTCAAAAGGCTGAATGTGCATCAGTCCAGGCTGTTAATTCCACCAGTCTTTCACTCTGCTTTCCTTACGTTCAAAGCGGGAGCTGAACTTTTAATTGGGGCTTTTATACAGAGAAAGCTGTAGTTAAGGTTACACTGAAACTCCTTGTTAAGCATGTGAAAACAAGTTAATATACTAGAATATTGTCTTGTGGAGCTAAAACTTTTCGTGCTTTCGTACTGTCCAAGGGCATCTATTTCCTCTGACAGCTTGAAGAAAATCTCTTCAGCCATTTTGCTTATGTGAAAACACTTTCAACATTTACAAGTTTTGAGGGTTTCTTTTGCATGCTAATTACTCTAAAACAGCTATGGAAATCTCTCCCAACTTTGCCCAGGGGTTTGCCAGTTGACAGGGCGGCCAGAGATGCTTTGCTGAAGCCTGTCTCTGTCTGCTGTCAGTTAAGAGTTTAGCAACTGGCTGGGGACACTTTCACACCTGATATGCCCACAAAGTTCGCTTTTTAAAGTATTAAACACATATTGTTATTGCTGGCCTAAACCCAGTATGATCATTTTGCTTGAAGGGATCTGACAAATAATTTCTGACAGTGAAAAAGTTACACCTTGACAATTGTGGTTGCTCTGCCCCAAGATGGTACAGCATCTGCGTGCAGGTAAGAGTCAAGCTCAAAGCAGATGCTAAACCATGAGGCTTAATGCTCAAGTGCAATAACTCTTTAAGATTCCTTTCATTCACCAGAATGTCAATGCTACTGCCAGATAATGCTGACAAGTCTTGGAAAACACCGACAGCAAAGACACTGGGAGTTGATGCTTAGGTGAGAAATCAAAATGAATGCAACAATTTGGGGATCGAGACTCAGAGGAGGCATTCACACAAACCTTTTGCTACCTGTACTATCTGTAGTAGCTAAATTGATTATCAAACCAATTCGGTTGTCCTGCAATCCCTCCAAAAATTCTGAGATCCAAAGGCATACAACATTCTCCAACGCAAGGACATAAGATAGACAATATTTTCTCATGGCTGCAAGTCTCCTCTAAAACACAGCAGACAATTACAACATGTAAGAGGAAGAATTTCAATCCACATCACTTCTTTAGTATAATAAAAAAGGCAAGTATACTTTGTTTCATCTCAAATCTTTATCGTGAAAATGACTTATTCTGATGAGTTTCAGGCAATCCGATTCTTTCAGTCCACACAAATGCTAATCATCCATGAGTAGAGCTATCAGTCAGATTTGATGTATCAAAACAAGCGTTCAGTGAGACATACCTCTACCCATTCTTTCTGAAATCAATTCTCAAGCACTTGGCAGGTGATTAAAAAAGAATTGCATTATTATATTTGCTGCACAGTGAGCAAACCTCGGTGAGTCTGTAAATTAGTAATTCTCAGAAACAGTAACGTTTCTTACCTGAGTGGATAAGCATGTGTTGTTTTAAGTTCTGAATGCGAGTGAACCGGACCCCACAGGTTGGACACTGAAAAGGTCTGTCTGGACCATTTGGGCTGGGTCTCTCTGTGCTGCTGGTAGAAGGAGCAATGTAGAGTTGGTAGGGATACTGAACGTTCTCCAAACTACAAAGAAAAAATTCACTGATTTACAAAGCAAGCGAGAGAAAAAAAAGCAAGCAGCCTTGTCCATGGAAATCTGAACCTTGTACACGTGGTTCATGGGTATGAGAAGAAGACGACGACTGGTGTTTTGTATTTCTGTTGAAATCTGTATTTATGCTGGAAATCCCTGCCTCTACAGCAATGCGTCTGACCTGCATCTGAAGTCTTACAGTCACTCACTTTGCACATCTGAACGAAACCAGAGAATAACCTCTGACTTCTGTTTCTTTGGGCAACAGGCCTGAGCACCAGCTGCAAACTGAACTTTATTTTCCAGGCATGGGCATTTTCTCAAGCGCATCGATGATTTACAATCAGCAAACAGCCCCTGAGGAAGAATTTAAAGAACTGAGCAAACTGGAAAGCAGAGGAGTATTTTGCAGCTTCAGTGATATTTACAAATGAAATTCAAGCTGATTCATTTTCATCTCAATCCAAGTTCAATGAACAAACATTAGTATCTATAATTACATATTTCTAAGTTTAAAATATTGATCTAATTAATCAATACTTGCTCCTTGTCTGATTCAATTGGCTCTTTGAGAATAGCTCAGGCGCTGTATTTTAAAAACAGCACACAGACTATAATAAAAGAACAATTTAACTTTCAAAGTCATTTATTTAAAACTGACTAATTGCTTCTACATAGCCTCTAGCTGCAAACTGTTCAAGGGAACTACAGTGTTATAATCCAAGTCCTCTGGCAAGGAACTTGCTTCGCTAAAGGGCACAGTAAAATAAAACAAAATCTGCTGGTACAAACATAGTAACAATAGGAGTTTGCACTTACCTGGGGTTTCCCTTTCCTGAGCAATAAGGTCTCTATTTTTTGTTGAAATAGACATTTCAGCTTGCTAACAGCCTGATGGCAGATCAGACGTCACTGGCAGCAGGGAACTGCTCTGACCCTGAATACTCCATGGCCAGAACAATGCAATTTTAGCTTTACTAAACTGTAAGGTCTAAAATGTATTCAGAAAAAAGTATCACGATGTCTCCTGTTGTACATAGTCAGAAAGTCTCCCTAACTGAACAAACCCTTTTGCTAGTCTGCTTTTATCTCGAGCCCAGATTGCTGGATTCAAGGTAAGGCTGAATTTGTGGACTTCTAACGTTCACAGGAATGAAACGTGAGCTTTGCACAAATACATTTTCCTACGGATCATACAGAAATCCACAGAGCAGATCAGCACAGGAGGTCAAGAACTAGGACCATCCCTTTAAAAGAAATATCTTGACTGTCTTTTTATCTACCCTGGAAATAGATATCAATACAACTGTGAGAACTGGGTACCTGAATTCGGAGTACAATGATGGGTCTTGGTGGCAAAAGCTACAGTTGTAAAATTTATCTGGAGAAAGCGAGCACCAGGTATCTCTCAAAACACACAAGATAAAAGAATTTCCTGCTGGAGTTTAGTATCAATCAATCTAACCCATAAGGATTTCTGGTCTCACATGGAACTGCAATACTATTTGCTCTAAGGAAGAAATTTTATTGTCCTTGACTTCTTTTTATACACAGTAGGGTCCCAGAGAGCCATGGAAAAGACAGATGCTGACAGACTTGTCGATCTTTGCTAAAAGGATTATTTGCAAAAGGGAAGCTACCAGCTCATATCCTGGGCCTGGCAGAATGTAGTTCACTGCCACTTCTGGGTCTAAAAAAGCCAGCTGATGGATCACCAAATGCACCTGCAGTAAATGAGGGCACTTTTAAACATAGATTATGATTTATCTAACCAAAATTCTGCCAGACTCTGGTACTCCTGTTCCTCCTTGTGAGTAGATCGCTAGGCAGAGAACTGATTTTACTCTATTCAGAATGTAGAAACACTAGTTTTGTCTCTGGAGTTGGTATGACCATGCGCTTTCCACTTTACCAATGAAAACTCCATTAATACAGACTAACAGACAGGTCTGCTATCCAAAAAAAAAAAAAAAAGGAAAAAAAGAAAAACATTACAAGAAAAGCATAAGGCATAAATGTCCAGCTGCCACAATAGCCTAATAATCAAATAATCAAACTGATTTAGGCTCAGGATGGACAGCTTGCCCCTCATCTGGTATTTGACAAATGTCATGCAGTCTGGCTAAGGGGCAAATCCCTTCAGAAAAGGTTTCCTTGAGCTCAGCTGACTGGAGAATTCACAATTAAAATTTTCACAGCCATGTGCCAACAGAAGTGACAGCTGCAATGCAGGGGTGATAAAGGGATGACTGGCTGGGCAGCAAGAACTCCTGCTCTTAGATGTACATATAGATCCACACATATGGTGTGCTCAGATAAGAATTAGATTTTGTTTTTTTCTGCGACAACATTTAACTTGCGTTATAGAGAACTTCATCTTCTGGTAACATGTTTCTTAGGTCCTTCCTCCCTCATTCCTGCATTAGGAGACTGAGAAGATGCAAAGGTGCATTGTGCTCCTACAGCTTTCTAGGGAGACACTCTAACTAGGGCAGAAATTAGGAAACACAGCTCTCCTTTTGTTTCCAGCTTTCTGAGGCTACCTCATCCCTAAAGCCTGTACTGATGCCAGCTTCTCCGCAACTGAAACAGAAAGGAGAAGTGCTACGGGGACAATCTCCCTAGAAAAAATTTAAAATAAAGTTTGATTTTTTCCTACATAAAAGCTTCATGATGAGAAAGGCTGGTTGAAGCTGATAAAATGGGAATCATGAGGCTCTCCAGCTACCAGTGACTGGCATGCTTTTTTCTATCCTTACACTGTAAGCAAGCTGAAACACCTATTGGTGACATAACTGTGGGCCTTAGCACAATGAAGAAATTACATTTGAAACACCATCATATTTTCTCTCCCCTGCTTCTTTCTCTCCATAGATACTTAATCTTTCATGACCTGCAATTTGTGATAAATGTGTCATTTAACAGTTGAGATTTGTCTAACATCTCAGATAATTTCTCTAACAGCTAGATAAAGAGATAGGTTTAAAATGCTTTCACTGTAATGCTAAAATATTCTGCTTGCAATTTTTTCTTTTTTTCACCAAGAGATATATACATATTTAACTATGTAGAACTAAACTCTGACAAATGTGAATGCCAAAATGCTCAGTGAGCCTAGAAATGTTCTTTATTTGTAAATACCAATTGTTTTAGAAAAGTGGAGGTTCTCATTATATTGGATCAGAGAGATCTTTTATAATTGAGCCTTTGCAACTCCTTTTTAAATGCAGCCACGAACTGATACAGAGACGAACTGTTAAACCAGCCAAGGCTGAATTACAGATCTATGTTAGAAAAGTCTATTACAAACCAAATGCAAAATATCAGAAAAAGAATATATCAGACTTTCACTGTGAAACAGTAGTTTTAATTCTTAGCAGATTCCTGTGTGTCTATTAAGCTAACAACAATTACATGTGACCTGTTATTTATGAAACACTGATTATGGAGGAGGACCAATTAACAATGCTAATTATTTAACAGAGAAACTCAAGAGGTAGGACATCTCAGATTTTGAACTATTTACGATTTTTTCCACAGTGGTCAGCATGTAATATTGGAAGACCTTTAGACGGACTAGTCTTCTGCTTTGTTTTATGAATAGAAATATAATATATACTTACGAAAAAAAATGCATTTGTCAATTTAAATTTGCACTGTCCACTCACAACTGATTTTGACATTTTGAGAATTTCTACTAATAAAGCAATGTACAGCCTGGACTTAAACTAAAGATGCATTAAAAAAAAAGAAACAAAAAAAATGAGGGAAATTTTCTCCATCTGAATGATTTATTGATCATGCTTTCATTTGATTCAGCTAGAGATAGGTGTATTATTTTATTCAGAATTCTTATGCACCCAAAAATGTGTGCCCAAATTGCTGCACAGTGAATGATGGGCCATATTTATTTGCTGATGTGCCCATTCCAGGCTTGAAAGGGGAATTTAGAAGTCCAGTGCTTGAAGGGCTGTCACGGCATTTCAGAATGCACTGTCCCATCCTGACAGGCATATAACACGCACTTACGCAAAAGAAAACTTCTTAGGACCCGAAAGCACCATTTTACGAATTTAACTGATTCATGGAATAAGTACAGTCTTGGAACTTTCATTTGAATTTTTAAAATAAATCACTTGGTAGAAAATTTAAGTTCTGGAGTCTAAAATTCTCAAAAATTCCTGTAACTATTAGTTCCTTTCCTGTTATATAAACCATGTGCAAATTCTAGTTCATTTTGCTGATGCTTCTGTTTACTCCGAGATTAATTATTTTCAAGCTTGGGTGTAAACAAATGCAAATATTCTTTCCTTCTCTGCACGGAAGAGATCTTTTAGTGGGAATTTTCAGTGTGTTTAAACGATTTTGTAGATTTTGAATCTTCTATGGAGTTTGTGCTGAAGCTCTGAAATTTTATAGGAAATGTCTGAAATAATCCACTGCTGAACATATGTATGCCACTTGACTTTTGAATTATAGCTTTAAAAACCTGGATTAGTTCTAAAGCAACATTTGCTCCTACTATCAAGTCAAACCCTAAGTGCTGGGTATTATTTTTATATTAAGGTTTGGTAGCAGATAGATAAAATCCTCTGTCATACAAAAAATCTGATCTAGGCAGTTACTTTCCCTTCGGATTTAATCCTACAGCGGGACAGGTTTTAGATGGAAATGGCAGGAAAGATTTTATGAGCTATGAAAATGCAGCTCTTGATAGTTATCTCTAATAGGGAGTTTCACTTGACACAGTTTCTAGAACAACTCCCGAAGGTTCCCATTTCTTCCTCAGACCCACTTGTCTAACAAAACACTATGCAAAAGCTATCATGTCAACACTTTCAAAATTTTGCTTAGAAAGGGAACAGCTAGCTATACGTCATACTTGACACAGACCACGAAAGCAAAGAAATAAAAATCAAACCAGTTGTGTGCACCCTTGTATGCCACTTGCAGGTACATCACTTTGCTCTCACGGAACTACAATACATCTTTGACCAAACAGACCCATTTTAGTTTGACCTTCTCCGCCAGCCTTCCCTTGAAAGGGATTCCCTTAATAAATCACTCATCTCAGCACAGCAAAAGCCTGCTAAATATTTACAGTAAGTGACACAGAGCACCTTGCTAAGAAGCTACACGCAGAAAGTGTGGGAGAAAAGTTTGAAGGCTGCTCTGCCTGTTCTGTGGTTTATGGCAATAGCAATGTCTGGTGAAGTCAAGACTAGGTACTTGTTTTCATTTTGTTGCTTTCATAGCTTTATGTCAGCTTTAGCATGCATGCAACTACCACACCTGTTTCACAGTAAAGATTTTTTTTTAATCATTTATTAATAAAGAGCAGTGATGAAGAAACAGCAAAATCATGAATATCTTTCTTCACCAGTGTTGCCTGGAAATAGACAGGAAATGAAAAGCAACAAGTAAGCAAATTCTGACTTTCATCACCTACATTTTCTAAAGCATCTGAACCTTCAGGCACTGATTGTACTTTGATCAACACAGAGAAGGAGATGTACAGACAACTAAACATTCTGGGATTAAGGCTGGGTAGGTTAATTACAGCACAGCACTTGCTGCAGAACAGTTTGCACACTACATTGGTACATACCGATCATCATCATCTGCATGAGCGTTAGTGCCAGAGGTACTTTGGAGTGTGGGTAATCCCTCCGTAACCCCCTCATCTATTGAGCCTAGGCAAAGAAAAAAGGGCAATTTAATGCAAATAAGTGTTCAAAAAGGGGGGTTGGGGGGGCAGGTAAATACACATAAAGCTTGCTTTCCCAAATCTCGGAGAGACACTGCTTCCTGGGTGGTAAGATACTAAAATTGTCTTGGGAAAATAATTTAGAAAACCCAGAAGCACAGTGTTCCAAATCAACTTCTCTGCACAGATTATCTATTAAATGGACAACTCAATAAAGGGCAAATATTTGGCAAACCTAGAAAATGGAATAAAATCTATGTTAAATACAGCCAGAGTTTTCAAAACACATCCAGTGCTAACACTGTAAAGGAGAAATGTTACCTTCACCTAAAGGGACTATTTCATCAATTTTCAAGACTTCTTGAGCAATAAAGAGTACAATCCTGCTGCACTACATTGCTTTCGTGTTCGAAATCTTCCATGTATATATTCATTGATAATGCCTTCATTTATTGATAAGATGCTGAGACAGGAAGAGCCCTCTGAGAAATTAGAAATGCAACGCAAAGCAGACCAAACATCTGTTTGTAAGAGAAATGTATACACAAAATCATTGCGGAGCTTTGTTCAGTGCACCGACATTCAAGCAAACAGAGCTCAAGTGGGTTTTGGACACAGAATCTAAGGTAAATGCGGCACTAAAACGAAACTATGACTTCGTTCACCTGATGTGTCTGTGGCTCAGACGGGTCTCCCTCATCATCACTTGGCGTTTGGAGTTCAAACCTTGTTTAGGCGTGTTAAGCAAGGTTATTTTGGCCTGATGTCACCGTAACAGGGAGGGAAGTTGGCAGTACAGGCCTACAATTCTGAGGACTGGTACCCACCCCTCACCAGCCATACCCCTTGATTTAAAAAACCCCCTCTGGTTTGGTTATGTGTGACCATGTTTTGTTCCCTCTTTACGCTGAGTGCAGAGAGCAGACTGGACCACCTCACATTCCTCCTTTTCCTCTGACGATGTCTCAGGGTACAATGGGAGATGATAAAAATGAATGACTGAACTCTGTCAAATTTCCAAAGGATCAGAATTGCTGTCGCTCCTCTCCAAAACAGGGGCTCCCAAATCATGACGTATGTTGATCAGAAGCATGGAAGTCACCTGGAAGTGGTAATTCCACCTTGCCTCTTTTTCCCTCTGTTGCTGGAAGCACCGCTTGAACTTTTCTCAATGGCCAAGCAGCCTTTGGGTCTCTACCACTGAACATGTCAGATGAGAACAGACAGGGGAAGGAGATTTCTCTCTCTCCACCTACACCTTGAGAATGAGCAAGGCTTAGGAGAGTGGTAGGAACTGCTCTTGCTATTATGGTAACAATAATTCTTCTTTCTAAGAGTACTTGAGCAATCTGAATTTGGGAAGCCTTCTCTAAAACTTACTAGGAAAATCAAGTATCATTAGGTCTACAATGACAAGTGTCAGACAAAATGGAAAACCAAAGAGAAGGAACAAAGACATGGAAAGTGAAGCAGAAAATGTGCATATTTTGTCAAAAAGAATGAGAGTACTGTCTCCAAAAAAGGCTGTCCCTATAAAGGACAGTGTATTCTACCAAACCTTACTGAAGTGAAAGATTATTGTCTTAATGTGACCCCATGTTATGGGGCCAGCGATGGGAGGAAACTTGCATCTCCAGCAGTTTCAAAATAACACTAGTAGAATCAAAATTTTTAATTTTGTTATGAGCGGGCAAACTACGTTTGGGAAATTCAGCAACCATGCAATCTATAAAGTTACAAAAGTTAATCCAGTTTTGACTTATCCTTCTTTCTCATGAAATATTTAACTGAAAGTCAACTGAAAAATAAGCCCAATTGCTTTTAAGTTTAATTTTATGCCTTCACCTCTCAAATGGGAACAGTGTTAATGAGTTATGAAAATATCTTCTCAGACATAGCTATTGTTGTAACCATAATGACTTATTTATCAAGGCCCTGCTTCACGTCTCTTTCCGTATTATAAAGTGCTTCCAAATATAATAAATTGCAAATGAACAAGTCTTAAAATTGCCCAAAGAGTGAATAAGAGCTTTTTGCAATATCAGAAAGAGAGGCAGGAATGCTTTTATAAATGCACTATAAAACACTGAGATAAATATATGCAATTATACGAGCAAAGTATGTTCGGGGAAGAGAAAGCTGTACTTTAACATATCTTGCTGTCTCCATTTACTGTTCTTACATTAATGCATAAGGAAATACATCTTTGGGAGGCAAAAGAGTGCTTTCTAGCTACAAAATGTGTCTTATCATATATTAGGTACACGTAAACTGCGCTAAAAAGCAAAAGCACCGTTTCTCTTTATAGCAAAATGTGAATAAAAACTATTCTGAGGATAGTTAACAATGTTATGCAAAAACCACTAAATATTAATTCAAACATATTTGAAGACAAAGAACAGGTGTGTATTCTGAAGAGTTTGGCCTAGCACATTTTTCCTCTCTGTAGCCATTTTAAGGAAGAACATGCTGTACTAACATCCTCAATAACAGACATTTAAGTTTAAACATTACAATCACCAAAGCCTAAGATCCTCTGTCCCATGCTGTATAAATGGTCGGGTACGTGACCTCAGTGGTACAAAACCTAGAGTAGGAAATAGAAAATGGAAAACTTTCCCCAAAACGTCATGTGGCTTCAAAACAGGCACCTTTTGAAGACAGATGTGTGAATTTGTTTGTCAGCTGAAATAATGTCAGGAAACTGGCTAAAGCAAGAACAGAATTCAGTAAGGTGCTTGGATACTGGAGTATGCTTCAAAGTATTTTGTTTAACACAAAGACTCTCTTAGAAAAGGAGATTTTATAGCATTCAGTGGCACCTCTCTAACAATTCAGGCCTAGTCTCACATCCTCACGTCCCTGTTCACTCAAGTCAATTTTGGGTATGCAATTTTTATGATATTTCTAACTCCAAGAGATGTCCTCCAGAAACTTCCACAGATTGTATCTGTAATCCTGAGTTTACACCCAGTTTCTTCTCTTAAGCCACTTGGGTATATTTACAGTGGATAAAAAACTCCCTCCTTTCACTTGATATCCTATTTTTAACTTTCCCTAATCATTATTTCTACTTGTTCTATTTTGTCTGTGATGGTAAAATTATGTTAATGAAATAATTTGCATCTCTGATCTGATCACATGGCCCTGGCAAGGCCTTTCCAAAGTTCCTACTATAATGAGTTAAAAACTGAGTCAAACTAAACTTGTTCTTGAACAAGGACCACTTTTCCTGGAGACTACCCAGCAAACAAATTGTTTTATTTTAGTTTTTAATCTATGCATTATTTTGGCAAACTGCAGTTAAAGAACTATATTTAAACTGATATTAAGTCTGCTTCTCAGAAAAGGTAAACAGCCTTGTCTCCAGTAAGTAAAACATCTTAGTTTGGAAAAAGCATTACAGATCTTAAACGTCAACACATGAGCTATACAAACTGATGAACAAAACCAACATAAAGTCTTGAAGGATGGGAGAAATGGAAAACATTTTCATTTCTTTTTAGACAGTATTACCTGAATAGTTTAACAACACTGATTACATATTGCAATCCTGGAACGGTCAGACTGATCTAACACTCACTTTCTTCAGAGAAGGCACAGCATTACGCTGACCAAACAAAACAAATAATGCAGGCTACTAGACTGCATTTATTTACTTTGGTGTAGTTTATTTATTTAATTAACTGAAGCAGCCTTTCATGTACACATTATTTGAATGAAGCAGACCACTACATTTGCCATTCTTACGGTCTTCAAACAAAACAGGCTTTATTAAAAATCTTTCAGTAAACAAACTCTACCGTGCACAGGTCAAGCCACTTAACTGAAAGCAAAACAGCTGACTTAAGCAACATTTTGGTAATTAAACTAGAAATATCGCAAAACCTGTATTTTCTGACTTCCTAAAAGCCATTCAATGCATTCTGTGCAAAGAGGAAAAAAGGGATTGCTACAGTAACCTTTATGTATTAGGTATTAATAAACAACAGCCTGCTAGAAGAACCCAAAACTGGCTTCAAATTGTCTTTCATGGAAAAATGGTTTCTCTCAGCAATTGGCAGTATTTGAAGGAGCAACTTGAGAACCAAATCCCACAGAAATGGAAAGATTCTCAATATTATGACTGTGTGGTTTTGTTTTCGTCTGGGGCATTAAGATGACAGTGTTCCACCACTTATTTTGCAAATGTTCTTACAAAGGTTCTCTGTCATGATTATACAAGATTTTATGGCTGATGCAAAGTACCATTCTATCCCTCTGCGGCTACAGCCACAAGCCTTTCAGATTTGGTATTGCAGCTCAGCTGAGATCATGCCTTTTGACACTAATGAAAACAGAATTATTTTCCCCAGTCAAGCAACTAGTGGCAAGAAGGGGCTATCAATCTCTGCTGAATAAGGAGGTCTACCAACAGGCTTACCTTTCTCAGCTGCCTCTGCAAAGTTATTTAAAGAGCCCCAAGTCCCGTCCCGTCCCCTCATCAGGGTTTGTATGTAACGTTTCATAAAGCCGGAAAAAAAAAAAAAAGGCAGGTTCGCAAAAGTAGAGCATGGCAAAACATGAAGCAGGTTTCCTCCAATAAAATCACAAGTGCACACATGCCTATTTGTACACGTATATAACCCCAGAAACGGCCGTACCTATAGAGGAAGACTGCGGGCTGATCAGGAGATCTTCCTGCACTTGCTCGCTTCCTGGGACTGTCTGTTGATCGCTCAGAGAGCTCTGGGATGCACTAACAGGCTGCGATACCTCCTCGTGAACCTCCTCATCGCTTAACCTTTCCACTTTGACACGCACGTCTTCTTCAATCACCAGGGGAGAACTGGCTTTTGTGCTCTCACAAGTCACGTAATCTGCAATTCTTCTGTTGGACTCAGAGGGCCCAGGCATTTCCAAAGTCCTAGAGTTCTCCGCCTGTTTCACCTTCTCAGACTGAAGTCTTCGATCAATTCCAAAAGGAAAAGTCCAGGGAAAAGCTAAGGATGAGTCCACGGGCTGATTTCTGGACTCCGGGTAAGAAGTTGAAGGATTCAGCACTTGGGGGGAACTTGTCTGGGTGTTGCACTTAAGGGGGCTCTCGGGAGACATAACTATGTAGCTTTTGCGCTTCCTCCGCGACTCTCGGCAAACAGGAATGGTTCTTTCCACCACACTGCACTCGGAAGAAACGGGAGAGAGGCTGCCGTCTCGAGAAGTGAAATTGCAGTTTGCGCTGTTCTCCTGTCCTGCATCCAGCACCTTCTCTTGCTGGCTGTTGGGCGTATTCCATAAAATGCTGGACTTCATGAATTCTGAGCACGTGCTAGCAACGCTGAACATCTGCATGTAGCTGGCTGCCGCCAACACATCAATAATGTTTTCTGTATTAATAGATAGTGTTGCTGTGTAAGCGTATTCCAGAAGAGGTATAAAGCCAGTCACTGTCACATGGTGCAGGTCTAACACGCTCTTGCTCTCGTCTTCTGCTTGGCCGACGAGTTTGGAACGGAAGAAGTCGCTGCAGGCTGCCAAAACCACCTTGTGGGCCCTGAAGATTTTGTCCTGGACGCGGATGGTGATATCACAAAAATGTCCATCATTGCGGAGCATGTTCAGCTTTCCCAGCATCTCCTGACTGTGAGCAGGGGAATTATGAGTGAATGTTTTAACACCCATTTTTTCACCTTTGTGCTAGCGTTCTTTCCACATACGAGAGATCACAGGTATCCTAAAAACAAAGAGGAAAACTGTCATTTTCATCTCTGAAAGCAAAAGCAAAGTGGCTTCATGACTGTAAGACTGTACGGAGAATATTCAGCCGAACTCCCTAGGGCCAGGTTTTTCTAGGATCCAGACTGTGCGATCGAGCAACTCTAAAGAAATGCAATTACCTACTTCTAATTTTCAAAAACACCGATCAAATTATTTGCAATCTATCACTAATACCACCTTCCACATTTCTGCTACGGCCCACTCAAAACAAATTCCTAACACAGCTCAGAGAAAAACAAAGGTCTGTAATACTAAAAAGAAATAATTTTTGAAACTATCTTCTGTGTAAGAAACTGGGATTTTTGTTTTCTGGGCCCAGGAAACTATTGCTCACAGTTCTTAAACCTGACAGGCTTTGCTGAATGTTTAAGTGGAAAAGACATTAGCTTGGGTCCACTTACAAGTGTGCAGGAGCAAGCAAATCTCCCAGAGAAGGTATTTAATACCAGAAAAGCTTTAGAGAAACTACAGCATGAATTTTCAGAGGATGGAGTTCAAGCCAGTAAGCATAAAATAACACTTGCCAAAAGCTCTGCTTTCCTGCTGTAGTGCAGGTACTGATTGCCTAAAGCTGCTTTTAATAAGTAGTTTTGGACTAGGATGAGAAGTTACTGAAATTTCCTTCAAAAACACAACAGATTATAAACCTCAAAGGAAAGTTTAAATCAAATACATGCAAATTGATTTTATATATGTGATAAATAATACAAGGAGGAAAACTTCTTTCTTCTGAAAAACACAAAACTGCCTTCTCGGGAACCAGTTCTCTCCTACATGTGGGAGCAAATGCATGTTTCTCGTGCAAGGTCCTGAAGGAGTAGAAGAAGGTGTATGCCCCACACTGTAAGTTTTAAGGCTGCAGCAGTATCTAAAACCGAAATGCCTCTGATATGAGGAGGATGAAGCTGATCCACGATTCACTCCCTCTGCAAAACACAGGCGAACGACACTGTGCCAAGCTAGGTGCAATATGCCCAGCCAGCTGCTGCCCCTGCAGTAAAACTTCTGCAGCCACCAAGGCTGGGTCTACCTGCAGAGAGCGGAGCATCTCTGAACAAGGACAATCAGCTCCTGGGTTTTCTCCAATCATTTCTGAATTATTTCACTGTAAAGGAAACATAAGCCACCATGTTTCACCTTCGTAAGCCCCCCCGCGCCAAGCTTCCATGGAAAGTCTTCTGTGTTTCACATGACTCACATGATATAGAAATATCATCTCGGTAAAGTTGGTGGTTAAACATCAACAGCGTAATTGGATCTGATTATTTCCTGGAGTCAGCCAGCTTCTTCACATCATCCTTCTCCTTTCCTTTACACGTACGCAAAAGCATACCACACTTGCAAATTGCTCATGCGGAGTTTCGCAGATACAAAGAGCACTGCAAGTTTGGAACAACTTACCACAAATCTCACAAGTCTTAGCACATATTTAAATGGCAGCTGTCAGAGCCTACCTTGTTCTACAGAGATTTACACTTTGCTGTTTCTCGTTCCTACAATTTCACTTTTGATACTGCAAACCCTTTCAGATAGAGGAAAAATACCTATTCAAGAGAACAGATTAACTAACACTTAACAATATATATAAAGCCTGAGTGAAACTATAAGGGCCATTTGGATTTAAAATGAAATTTCACACTAGTGCAGAGGGAGAAGTTCGGCACAAGCAAAACACTCCCTTCAGTGAAAGAAAACATATCGACCTCAAGAGGCATCTGAAGAACTACACTGTTTGTTCTCCAGCATGAACCAAATGAAAAGCATATTTAATTGATCTCAGACCAAAACACTACAGCAAAATCTTGTAACAGCATATTCTAAAATGGCCTTGGGATACCCTTCCTTCTGGATTCCCAGTTGCTGCAGCAGTTCCTTGGCACATCAGAAGTCCAGAAGTACTTCTGTTTAGCAACTGGCTACAAAAAGAATAATACATTTGCAAGCACTATCAACAGTATATCTAGTATTTAGAAATAGTACCAATACATAATCAGAAACAAGGAGAAAAATTTAAGCAGGCAGTACTCCCAATTCTTACGCGCTCGGAAGACTAACCCTTTTTCCTTCTCTGTTCATCTAGTAATGCTCATCTCTCCAGCCTCTAAGTGAGAGCACTCTATTTTGCTCACCTCCTTCAAACCCTGCTCTGAACCATTCCTTGTCCTGCTTTCCCCCTTCCTGCCCGCCTCTCCCCTCTTCTGGCTTCCTTTCCCCTTCTCCTTTCATCTTTTGCTTCCTTGACCTTGATCCGGTTACAGAATTTAAAATAAAATAGCGGAAGTCAGTGATGTGCAATAAATTGATTTAAATTTATTACAGGGGCAGCATGCTTGCCATGAACGTGGGATATTGCTCTGTTAAGTCACTTTTGTAAAATGACCTTCCCCCCTCATTGCACTCACACCACCATTCAAACAAGTGGCTCCTACACAGGCCCCGGCGTGGACAAAGGGCATAGGCATGTGTGTGCTATTTTCAGAAAAATCAAAAGAAGTGGGCTGAGAAGGGGGAACAATATCAGTGCTTTACAGTTAATGAGCTAGTAAAAACGTCAAATATTTTTAGAAGGTAATTTAAACAGTATGAAAATATTTTCCGCATGAAAAGATGAGCATGCTAAAGCTCAGCCAGGTTATAAAATGGTTCAATTCTCTTTGTTAATCTTTTAGTGGCATAGGGCACTTTTATAGCTGCACTAAGTCACAGTGACGAAAGAGGGTAAAGAGCTGCAATGTTACAACTTCCCTTCAAGCCTAACATCTTTGGATCATCACCATTTCGAAATGACATTTTGTCACGTCTTATTACCAATTATTAGATAGTCCATGACAGCAACTGTTCGACCATAAGGTATAGGCTGCTACATTCAGGAGTGATTAAGGAACCATAAACTAGAACTAAATATACACCTTACCTTGGGAGTGTTCGGGGTGGGGAGATCAAAGTGCACACATAAACTGAGTGATAAGTGGGTTGAAGCTGGAAAAGTTGTTCATCTCTGAGCCACAAACCATCAGTGATTCTGTAAGCAGGGGCTGGGGTTGGTAGCAAAGAAACAGTGGCTTGCTTTTCCTTCCCAGCTGCTGGCAGCATGGCTCCTCCTCCCCACAATCCCCACGCACACGCGGATGCCCTGGCCCATGATACATTAGAATATTTCAAAGTTCAAGAGAAACACGGTGAAATTTAAAGACACTTTCAAAAGATATTCTCAGTGGGACACTTCAGCCTGTATTTAATGGGCTGATTTAACTTTGTCACAGACACTTACAGTTCGAGAGAATGGTTTTTCCAGCCTGCATTCCTGCACTGGAAATGTGGGGGGATTCACCACCAAAGGGCAGATCCCTGGACAAGGTGAGAACTCAAACACCAACACTTCAGGACTTGCAGAGCAAGAATTTTCCCCACTACTAGCCAAAAGCAGTCTGAAGGTAAGTGCTACTGTACTAAAGCCTTTGTACAATTCATTTGAAAATTAGTTCGGTTTTTTTTTGTTTTTGTTTTTTTTTTTTAAATCCTAGGAGCACTAATATAGACCTGACCTTTAAGTAGTTCAAAGAAACTTAGCTCATTGTTACTGTTTCAAGGCTACTGAAAAACAAGTTTTAGCAACAGTTACCAATTCACATACACTGTTTTGGGACAATGATTAAACACATGTCAGGTTTCTGTGCTTAGAAACAGTAAACATGTGAAAGTGTATACCATGTTGTGGAAATGGAAAAGAAACCGTAACAGAATTTTTAAAAATTGCTTATTTGACCTGCCTACTCCCATGGACCCAAAAGTCAGCTCTTTATTCACCTGCTGCCTAATGTTACAACTCAAATCATTGATTTTGAAACATGGTACCTATAATAATATTTTTCTTTTCTTTTCTTTTTTTTTTTTTTTTTATAGAATAGTCAGTGAATCAAACTAACGGAGCAGTTTGCATTCAGTTTCTCACTTAGCTACATCATTTTACAACAGAAGTGAATAATTTTTTAACACCATAAAACTACTACCCCACTTTTACCCTCTATCCTGACTCATGGCAACTTACAAAATATCATGAAAACACTAGATTTTCTGAGTATTTTCTGAAAACCAACAGACTTCAAAAGCCATGTTGGCTTTTGTGACCCAAAAGCTTAGGAAATTCCCACCCTCATGCTCACCCATCCCTCTGGTACACTCATTCAACTGTGAGGCCATGGTGTAAATTAGATCACTAGTTATCTTGGTTTTGAAATTTATTTTTAACCCAGACCACTCCTTGGGCACTGGTTACAGCATCATCCCATAAACAGCAGCAGCAGCCCAAACACAGACAAACCTTCTGTGGAGATAAAGGTGTGACCTGGACCACCTTATCTCTGTCAGCTTCTCACTGTGCTACATAGGTACCAGCACCCCTTGCTCCCTCAAACTGCCTAACTCGTTAGTATAATTAAGTTTATAATTGAATTAGAACAACTGCTCTTAGCGCGTACTTAACTTCAAGTTTGATATTTCTATTTCAGACTTGAAACACTTGTTTATCTAAACACGCATCTGTTTCCCCCAACACCAGCTGGCCTAATAAAAGGTACTATTTCCCACTACAAATCTTGCCTTGCTTCACTTGACAAAACTGCTGGCTGGAGCTGCCAAACTGCTCTTGTTGCAAATGAATCAACAGCACTTTCTAAACTTTGTTTAAAAATGTATTTTAAGTCAGGTCAGTAAACCTGGTGTGAACTCAGGCCACCACTGCCAAGCCTGACAGCATTTATGAAAAAGAGAAGGCAAACACAAGGTTCCTGTGCTCAAAATTACATCAATGTGCAGTATTCACTTTGGTGTACTGGAATCTGTGGAATGCAAACCTGTAACCTTTAGCTGCAGTGGGTGACTGGACCAGGGAAATGAACCATCCAGATAAGTATGCAGTGTTTCAGAACTTCAATTTCCTCTAGGACAGCATACTTC